CGTTCAGTTCATACTGATAGTATTTGGTTGCAGTTATGCTGGACAGGACATTCAACTGCTGGTCAAGACACCACTCATCATACACCAGTCAGCATACACCACTCATCATACACCACTCGTCATACACCACTCATCATACACCACTCAACATACACCACTCATCATTCATCACTTGTCATACACCCCTCATCATACAAGACTCATCATACATAGTCTCAGAGTTCAAGACAGATTTTACATTCAAATTCGGATTCCATTCAGTCCGATGTGGACCGCATCCTTGGCAAGTCGTGGTGGCCGGATGTGTGTCATCTCTCGCAGGGGGCACACACACCTTACACACGTGGAATCCCGTGGGTCAAAAGTCCGGAGCGCGTGCGTTTGACTGGAGGACACGCATGTTGGAGAGAACGTGGACACTCCTATAGGTCAATGTCTTCTTATAGGAAACTTCCGCCGCCGGCTTGCCCGGGAACTACTTGTAAGAATACTAGGGAGTTACTAAATAACATATTGTGTATTATATATTTGTATGCTCAGCCCCGAATGATTCTCTACCTGTTCCTGCTTTTCGGCTCTTCTTTTTCGGCTCTTCTACATATTCACTCTTTCTATTTTTTAGCTCTTCCACTCTTCTCAGCTATTTGGCTTTTCAGCTAAAGAGCTTAAAGGGAAATCAAAGGAAATCAACATGAATTCAATAGGAAATCAACTAAATCAAAAGGGAATTCACACATAAAGATCATAAAGATAAAAAGAAAACGAAAAGTGAAGATGGTAGACGTGATTGCAGCCTTGACTGTCCTTCTTGGACTTTGGGCACCACCAGTTCAGCGATTGCACCACATCCGGCTTGGGGCTGACGGCAGCAGTTGAACACATCAAGCATGCAGAGCGCATTCTTGCTCAACAGGAGGAGGAAGGCATCAATGAAGTAATTAGCAGCTGGGGCAAGCAAAAGGGCAGCTCATGGGCACGAAGGAATTCCAGAAGCTCTTCCATAGCCAAAGTGATCGTGCAGAAGACTATGGGTAGCCTTGAGTCGGCTGGCAACGGCATTCCACAGAGGCCTGCTACGGTGTGCCTCTGGCTCCAAGGTGCAGGCGCCAAGATTCCATGGATGAAAGGGCCCATAGCGGAGAGATGAATTCCGGAGTGAGGGCTCTTGACTGCAACAGCAGAGTAGTTGCTGCATCGGCGCGTACATTGGGCCCACGATGGCCTTAACAGGGTATGTGATTAGACGTATCAAGAAGGCCGCGTGTTGAGAAGCGCTGCAAAGGGTTTTCGCTGTAGGGACGACATCACGCCATCGCATTATGATAATTCACATTTGCAGGAGCACTTCAGCAACCCTTTGTTTGCCTCCTGTGCAGGACCTTCCAATTTGCTCCGAGGTTATGATTGCAACCCCCAGCATAGGTGGCCACTCTTTGAGGCAAGTACAGAACGAGGTGCTGTATGGTGAATATGGCTTGAGGTGAGTGGCCAGCAATCCAAGCACCAGCACCAAGTCGATTGCGCAAGTCCACACAGTGATCAGGAATACGAGAAGCCACCGATGGCAAAGGGGTTCTGTCCCTGAGAGCATCTCCTGCTGAGGGCTGTTGGATCTGGCAGCGTCCGCAAGGGAGGGCAAACTGCGAGCCGCAGATATGCCGACAGGCGTAGCGTGGGAGCGCGGGGGGCTCTAGTAGTGTCGAGGTCATTTGACAGCCAAAGCATGCAGACGCAATGGAGGCGCCCAGCGTCACGCCGCGCAGACCGATGTTGTTTCTTTGTCTGGACCCCGTCAATCGGCAGTCTCCCGACAAGGTTGATCAACAGAGCAAGGTTTTGGATATATATAATATAAAGTAAAATCCATGACTCTCAAGGGTTTCCATTGCGAAGGGTTGCAGGAAGCCTTTGGTTGCCGCGGGTCCTTTCCTCGACTGCGCTCTCGTTGTGGTGCTGTGCACGTTGTCGGGCTTGGTATGTGTGCTCTCATATGTGTGTTCTCATGTGCTTGTTCTTTTAATGTGTGCTCTCATATGTGTGTCAGTATTTGGTTACTTTCATCGTTCTCCGAACACGTCTTTTGGGATAATTTCTTGGGGCGAGAGGTGGGATCTGGATTGTTGCGACTCGCGCGGCACTCGTGAAATCTCTCTTCATGTAACAGGGCCACAAATTCTTCCTAAAATTCCATACGCATGAATTATTTTAAGCTCGTATTTTGGTTTCCTGAAGGACACATGACTTCACAACACTACCTGGAGTGAGCATGGCCATGGTGACTCAACACCCGAACAACAAGACATCAACACCAAAATGATCGTTTCGTCCCAGTGTAGGCAAATATGCCGTTTCGAGTTTGGGCAGGAGGATGTGGTGCATAGCGTGGTCATTGTGTTGCATTTTTGTTTGGGCGACCTTCCATGAGTCGGGTGACTTCCACTACAGTAGCGTGCCCATGCGGCTGGGTGACTTTCTGTCACCCGGGTGACTAAACCCGGCAATTGTACATCCTCTCATCTACTTTGATCTTCCAATTTGCTCTTATCTCTGTACTCTTTATTCTTTGCCCTGTGCGGTGTGGCAAGTGGGAAAGGAGGGAAGACGGAAGGAGCAAGGAAGTAGAGCAGTGGAGCAAAGAGGTCAGGTGTGAGCCACCCATATACCCATAAACCAATACCTTGCCCATACCCAGACATGCATGAAGTGACTTGAACTGAATTGAAGTACAGTATAAGTTTCTATTGACCGAGAAACAAGAGACACAAGTACTCAGACTCAAGAGACTCTAATGCAAACCATCCGCTTTGCTTGACAGTATTCACAATGAACCCAATGACCCAATTTCGTACGTTGAGCACTTCAACAATGATGAGTGTTTTGCCAGCAAATGACCTACGTCAAGAACAACTATGGAAGTAACGGGCCCTTTAGTAGCCAGTATGACAACCCACTATATTTTCCTTCAGCAATGCTTACATTGGCTTACATGTTCTTAGGCCCTTTGCTCGCTTGAAAGCACCACTATTCTTGTGACCAGGTCACAGCTGATGGTACGTTCAGTCGTCGATTATCAGTCTTGGGCGAGAAGGACAGGAGCACTTAATGCTGGATTGATACTTATATAACCTTCTTTCTGCATTGCCAAACATATTGTAGACGGAACACATGTGCCAGAATAACACATCACAGGCTGGACATGCAAGAACTTTGTCGACGCACAGCAATTCAGGAAGACGGAGAAGATGTCTCCCTGTTCCAGCGGCTGTCTAGGGAGGCAAGGAAGACGTCAAAACTTGCACAGAGTTCTAGAGCCAAACAACATTGACACTGTGTTTTCTATTACAGCAGGGCCTTTGGAGGAATCTAATCAGCGCTGGTCAAGGAGCCACTGAGACTTTTTAAACAACTTGCTTGTGCGAAGACGGCGACAAGGCCAAGCCGACTTGGTGGCAAGTGCCTTTGAGACGACTTGTGCGCTCCTGGGTGTGACTTGTTTGCAGGATCCGGACCTGTCACCCTTTGACTCCAAGTTCTCCAGACCAACGGGTTCCGACTTGGTTCCGACTGTTGCGCTACTATTTGTATCAACTGGGTCATTTGGGCTGTTGCCAGTCCCATAGACGCTCCTTGTACGTTGATATTCTAGGGCTTTCTGGCGGTTGTAGTGAGGCGATCTCTTCCTCTCTTTCTTCCAGAACGCGTCTGACCCACCATCCTTTAAACGATCAAGGAACTGAACCAAACGACTTGGAAACACGACGGAAAAGCTGTTGCAGCGATAGCCATCTCCAAGCTTTCACTTGATTTTGTTCATGTTGTCGCCAAGGTTTGAAATCTTCTTTGCTGCAGTGCCCGGACCTGAGCACTGCCAGTATGCTTGAGGGTCTTGCACTTGGCTCTTCCATTACATCCTTGACATATTTTTTCAAGACATCACATGTTTCAGATGTGAAACCAAATCTTGCTGTGAAAGAAGGAACTGCATGGCAGTAGGTGTCACCAAACCGCACGGCAGTACGTGTTGCGAGGATAGCTGCCACGACTTACAACATGTCCTTTGTTCATGCCTTTCCTTACTGTAGAGACTGGCTTTCCTTGGTCAATTTGGTTTTCCTTTCTTGCTTGTTATTGAACCGAGGATATTCACAAACTCCATCTTCATTGCATATCAAGTGGAGATTGCAGCAAGGAACCTAGGTGCGGCGAGTGTGGGACACGTGTTTCAGAACATGTCTCGACAAACAGCAAAGGAAGGACATGTGACCTGTACCGAAAAGCAGACCGGGAGACTGATGGTATATCTTTGTCGATGCATTGGATAATATACTTATATAACAGCACTTATATAAGAAACACAGGCTTTTGAGTGGCCATTCGACTGCCACACTACCAGGCCTTTTTTGTAGCGTTGCGGTGCTTGTCTCTTTTGTAATATACTTGTATCTCAAAATTTGTGTTCAATCATTTTAGGCTCTGGAACCCCGTTTCCAGAGACCCGTAGTCAGGCTCGAAACCAGATTCCGTTCTATTTCTCATTGCTTCTGCGTACACGTTTTTGCTCCATGGATGCAAGATTAGCGGGGGGATGTTGCAAACAACTCTGCTGCTTTTGGCTTTGTGTCTTGCTTGTGTTTGGAGGAGCATGCGTTTGGACCTTCGAAACAATGTCAGAATGGTCATACAAATAGATTTTTGATGTGAGTGATGTCATATCCCGATGTTCCTTTCGATTTGTGAAAGATACTCTTCAAGAGATGAAGCGGCTCTCCAAGGTTTACATTTGAATGGATCGTTCGCATCGCAGCTTGGGGACCGCGAGTGTTCTGTGGAGAGGACCTCCCATATACTGAGCAAGTGTTAGGAAAAGGAATAAACACAGATCAAAAAAGGGAAGGCCTTGCTGTACCTTGGAGCAGCCACAAAGCGCTGTTGAGTTACAGAACAAGTGGTTTAAAGTGGGTGTAGCTATGTTTACTTCTACACAAATCACTCTTCGCCACAAATCCTTGCAGTTTTGGAGGGTCTGAGGAGCAACTTTGAGAGACATGTGCCAGCAGGGCGTCATGGCCTTTTGACAAGATGCAAATTAGGACAGCTAGAAAGAACCAACAACTAGACGACAAACAGAAAAAAGAGATGAAGCCACAGTGGACAAGACCATTCTAGGATCTAATGTGGGTGTACGGCACGAAATGTAGCATTTTGCACCCTTCAATCTGACAAAGAAGTGTTTGCGCATCCTAACATTCGCAGACTTGGGGGTTGCATCAATCAAAGAATAGAAACATATCATCAAACTATCACACATCACCAGTCCCCTGAAAAAAACAGATAAGTCCCTTGTCCTTGTACTGGTGAAGCCTCGCCTCACCAACAGTGATGCCACACTAGCCGCTGGGCACCTGTGAATAGCAGACACGATGAAAGAAGCTGAGAGCGAGAGGAGATTCCTATCATGGGCAGAGTTGCTCAGTCATCCATTGAATGAGCTTGCTATTAGGTAGGAAGCCATCGCTTCTAGGTTGGAGGCCATCGGGATTCGGTCAGCCAGGATTGGCATTGGATGGCCTTGGACACCGCTGTGGTGCTATCAAGCCTCTTTGAGTTTGCCTTGGAGCTGCCCATGCACCAGGCAAGGCCTTGGGCTGACAAGGGTGCCCCAAGTGAATGCAGGTGGCATCAACCGTTGGTGCTTTTGGGGTTTGCCGGGCTTGACTCCATTATTTAGCTTAGAACAGCCTAGCGACGAACCCTTGGATGAGTCTTCGGGAGCAATATCTAGATAAATGGAAACATGTATCGTCACTTTTGAGGCTTCGTAGTGAGGTATTGAGTTTCATGTTTTTGGGTCATACAAGTGTTGTGTGTCAGTCACGAAGTGTGGGTGTTTTCTTTTGGCAGCCCTGAGGAGCATTCATCCAGTACAATCAGCAACATGCGTCTCCTGCGCGTCCTGCGGGTTGCTAAAGTTACACGTGCCCTTCGGATCGTGAGGCCGGAAACCGGAAGCTGTAGCCTCAAAGCATCCTTCTTAGAGATCGGCATTTCTTCTTCAAGTCAAAGCTCCGCCACCTTTTAAATATGCTTTATCGGATAGCCACTTGATGGGGGCTTAAGCCTTAAGCTCAAATGACATGCGGAAGCAACATGGTCACTTGCTGTAAGTACTTGTTCCCCAAACAGTTTACCGTTGGGGTTCTCTCTTAGGAAAAAAGAAGCTGGCCACAGTCTCTGGCCGCACCGGCGAACGCTGCTTCCGGGCGTTGTTCTTTTGCTGTCACCTTTTTATTTTTTCTTTTTTTCTTTATCTTTTCCTCCTCTTGTCTTCTTCTCGTCGTCCCGTTGTCCTCCTCTTGTCCTCCTCTTGTCCTCTTCTTTTCCTTTGGTTGTCCTCTTGTTGACACCAGCTTGGCCGCGGGTGCCAGCCAGTCTCCAGACCCTGTCCTCCTGTTGTCCACTTGTCCTTCTGCTGGTGTGATGTCAGCATGGCAGCATGTAAACATGACACCATGACAGCGTGAGTGTGCGAAGCACCGCTCCCAAACGCGCCAGTCTTGTGTGGCACGTAGTGACCTAGTGGAAAAGCGCCAGCCGGCAAGCGCGAAGACCACAGTACAGCAGCATGGCCACCTAGCAGCCCGTCAGCACGCAAGCATGACAACATGTGAGCGTGCACTACAAAGCAGGGAGGCACTATAGCAAGACGACTCCAGAAAGACCCCAGAAGCCGATGTCCTCTCCTTGCCCTCCTGTTGTCCTCTTCTAGCGGGGTTCTCTCGTAGGAAAGCAGTGTCAGGCCGCGCCGGCGAGCCCGGTCCGGATGTCCTCCTCTTCTCCTCTTGTCAATCTTTTGGGCCCTGTCCTCAACATGTTCTTCTGTCGCCTTCTTGTTGTCCTTCTTCAGGTGCTGTTTACGTTGCTTTCTGAGGCAGGAAGCTGTTTGGGGTCCATGGTGGTGTCATGTTGGGCTTTGGCCGTGCCCCTGAGCCCTGTGTCCGAGTGTCCTGTTGCATGGGCGCGCTCGCGACACTTGTGTCCTCCTCCCGCGTACCCGGTGTCCACCTCTTGTCCTCCTGCTGTCCTCTGGCTGCGCCGGCGAACCCTGTGTCCTCCTCTTGTCTTCCTGGTGCCCTTCGTGCCAGGCTTGCGAGCCCTGCGTCCTCCTTTTGTCTTTGCGGTGTGCTGCTGCTGTCCTGTAACTGTAGCTACGCTTACGCCCACGTATCCCCCTTTTGCCCTCATGTCCTCCTGCTGTCGTCCTTGGCCTGGCTGCGCTCGCGAGCCCTGTGTCCTTCTCCTTCCGCCTTGTCCACTTGGCCGCGCCCACCGGTGCTGTGCCTTTCTTCTCCACCTGGTGAGGGCTTTGTCCAGGCCTTGTGCGGATCTGTTTATCGGCCTATGCTGTTCTGGTGAACTTTGAGTTCTCGCGCTTTGGGCTCTATAGTATGTTGGTCTCTTTTCAACACACCAGTAAAAAGAGCCTTGACATTGTCATCTTTAAACATGACATCAGGCATCATTGTTCCTGAATGATGGATATGGCACTTTCAGAACATTCGCCTGGAAAAACCATTCCTTCGAATACACGTGCTAGAAACCCTCGCGCAAACAGCAGATTAAACAGAGGAAGGACAAGCAATAGGACCTGGCTGTGCCACCAACAACTAGCCTGAAACCTTTCAACGCACACTTGCAGCCCAAGAACACGGAACAAATCATCCTGGGCTCCAAAATGAACATACAGTCACAGTCATAGTCTACAGTACATCATATGGAAAGGCCAGCAAGAATAACCGGGGTTGGTACATCTACAGGTGGTTACAGTGGTCACAGATGCTTCTTGCTCCATGTAAGTGTCTCAGCATTGTAAGCCACAAGATCTACCGCATTGCAACAGTCAAGACTTGAAGGCAGGCCCCGAACCACATCAAATGACCCAAACATCTATGAACCAAATCAATTATATATTTAAGTTCTGCAAGGAAGCTCCCCGCCCTCAGGCAGGAGAGCTTCTGTCAAGCCCGAGCAGCGCTGCTTACTAGTAGCTACCTACTTGCTGCCAGCTCACTAGTACCCTTAGATACCCTTAGTACCCCCTCGAGAAAAAGGAGGATGGTTTCTTTTCCGTTTCTTTTTGAGACCTTTTCTGTATGCATGCCTCCCTCTTCTCTGAGGGTCGTGAAGTTTGTCCGTTCTTTGAAGAGCCTTCTATTCTGCATTGGGCGCACCATTCGTGCATTGGCACCGTGGCTGACATATAGTCCATTCACTTTGCTATTTTCTTCATCGTTTTTGGTTTTGTTTCTTTTCAGTACATGCCATATGTTCTTTCACTGTTGTGGACAACACAGCCATCTGGGGATGTTGAGGAGACAAACAGGTGACACTCACACATCTCATGTAGACCATTCTTGCACTACGGCGGTATTTGCCAGGAGCGGAGGAGTAGTAGGTATTTGCCGATCATGTGTAATGGTTTGCAGGACATGCTTGAGTTTCGGAGGTGCGCATGTTGACTTCCCACTGATGTCCCAAGCGATGTTTGAGTTTGTAGAAGACTCCTAAATCACCTTGGCCTGCAAAGAAAAATACCAAAACCCTGTTCCAGAAGGGAACATCCAAGAACAAGGTCGGTTTGGGTCTTTGGAGTCTTCCCATAGTCTTTCCACAACCAGGCCATTTTGATATTTTGTATGGCATCGGTCGATGGCATCCACAAAAATGCCGCATTATCCACCAGCATGACAAATGGAGCCCAGTGGACAATGGCAACGCAGACATTACAACTTATTTTTTGTCAGCGCAGTCCTGCACAAGCACGCGCAAAGACTCGCAGCTAGACACTGTGACGCAATCACGTCAGGATATCCACAATATGGGATTTCATCGTTAGTTGGTGCTCATATGAGAGGAACATGTTTGACTAGCCCAATGCCGGGCATGCTACGATGAACAAGCCCCAAGCTATTCGGGTCGCTTCGCAACAACAACCGCCCGCACCAGTGACTCTCAGACAGAGGGTAAAATAAGTCTCTATAATCATTCTATTTTTTGACCCTCTGACAAGCAATTTTAAAGTTATGTCTTACTTGCAGCTTGCCAGCATTCGTGGATGTATTTTTTGATCCCGTAGAAATCGCCCATTCAAGTGGGTTGAAAAGTGGAGTGAGTAGGTACAACAAGCTTTACAATGTGCGTGATCGAGACAAGACTTAGAGATGAACGCAGCGTGAAGTGGCTGAATCTACAATCACTCTTTTTGTTGCTCCCTCTTACGTTTAGTTGCAAGCATCGTTGGAAATACGGGGTCCAAAATATATCCAACAATGTCTGCACATGAATATAATTTGGACCCCCGAGAAATGTGCAATTTCACCAGGGTCGAACAATGGAGTGAATATATACAATAAAATAACTATATATACAGGGTGCATGATCGACACAGCACTTAGAGAAGAACGCAGCATGAAGTGGATGAATAAAATAGAGAAGTCTTTATAATAATCACTCTCTTTTTGGACCCATCTACAAATTGTTTAGTTGTGTCTTACTTGCAACTTTCAAGCATTGTTGGATATATTTTGACTCCCGCCAAATTGTTATGCTTTTCTTGGGTTCAAATTACATTAAGTCGCAAGCAATATGTACAACAGACTGTACCATTGCAACCCGCTGATGCATATGATACTATAAAAAAAACTATACAACCGCGACCAGCTGATGCATATGATGCAACCATGAAGGTATATTAAGACTAGACTATTGAGAGGAGTCGTTTGTTTGCCTTTCTTAGACCTGATGTGCATATGATACGATAATGAGACATATTGTCAGACATAGATGGCGTGTGAAAACCACGTGTTTTTTTTCAATTTTTTCTCACACTGCCACTCCTCTCCCAGACAAACCTCATGAGTAAGCTAAAGCTGGTCACTCATCCTGAACACCGGGGAGCTTGGCTCAAAGCTTTCATGCCGCCTTGGGTTGCTGAGCTTGCTAGGTTCTTGGCCCTAAGCTTTCTTGCCTGGCTCATTGCGGGTCATCTCTGACCTTCCTGACATGCTTCCTGGTCGACAGGCCCTCTGGTCCTCAGCTTCCAATACGCCTTTCGGCGTATTTGCATGAACGGGCCCGCAGCTCTCAGCATCTTGATTGAGGCCGTCAAGTCTTCTAGGGCCCTTCGCGCAGGTTCTCTGGCTACTACTTCTGCGGTCTCCAAGTTCTCGTCGGATGCTGGACAACTCCCCTTCTGGAGGTTATCTGGTCAGTGAGCCATCTGGTTCATTACCCAGTGGCTACCACGACGGGGGACGTGCTCTGCCTCCTCTACCCAATCATTCTTTTGGATTTGTGGCTGCCTGCTGGCTGGCAGCTGCACCTCTGAAGAGGTTCGCAGTTGAGCCAGCCGTTGACAGGAAGGCCCCCAAACCCAAAGCTCAACCTCAAGGCCACGACCTACATCTTGCGGGCCCCAGGTGTTGAGAGCGCCCAAACGAGGTGTCTTCGGCTTCTCATTATTTCCGCCGGCTGCCTCGCTTTTGAGAATTGTCAGACTTAGTACTACTAGCTTCTTGTTACTACTAGTAAGCCATCACAAGTCTATTGCCAAAGGGGAAAAGGAGTGAATACCCGAGTTGAATATTCTCAACTCCTGGGTTAATTCTTCATCTTTTGGTACCTATCAGCTACCCCCTGAGAAGTATTAACTCCCAAGTTAATTCTTGGTACCATCCCTATTGTAGAAGAATCAACTCAGGATTTAATTCTTTTTATGTGCCTCCTACCCAATGTGGTACTTTATTGCTATTTGGGTCCCTTCAAAAAGAATTAAATCCTGAGTTGATTCTTTTGTGGGCAAAATGGTAAAATAGATTTTGTGTACAGGTTGTTTTGGAAAAGAATTAAATCCCAAGTTGGTTTGGAAAAGAATTAAATCAAGAGTTAATTCTTTTCCAGGGCTGCCATGTCCCACC